CAGTGAGACCGACATAGCGCGGATGGACAACGGAGGATAGATATGAAGCTGACATCACGTTCCCCAAACACCCCTCCCCCCCTCTTACTCCATAGTCTGTAACCCTTTGAGAAAACAGGTCAACTCACAATTGACAGTTATATATCCATAACTGGTACTGGTTCCAGCCGGATTTCGTGCCGTACACTTGTAGACGCCCTGCTCAGGTTCGTGTACAGTTAACGTGGTTATGTTCAGTCCATGACGGGCTTGGAAGCGTCGACGATCCTAAAATTTCAACTATTTACGCTTTTGGAGCCCTTGCCATAACCCTAGACGTTAGGTAGCACCTGTTGCACCGATTTGTCATTGCAGAACCATTCAAATATTGCTGGCGGATCGGAGGCCACCTCCACGACCAACGTCGGAGTGTCCGTCGACAGAATGCGATACGCTTTGATCACCTGAACGAATGAACCTGTCCAATAGCCTGACATGGAAGAAGATTTCTTCAAATACTACAAAGGCCATCCCCCGACGTCAGATAAGTGGATTGAATTATAAGTTCAAGACAACGGGAATACAGTATCCAAAATTAAGCATAAAATTAAGGACACAGGACAAGCGAATGCACATTGCTCCCCTCAGTTTTCACCTAGGTAGCACCAAGCTACAGGTGGAGTTGGCATTGCTTTCCTTTCCATACCGCCTGGGCCTAACCCCAGAACTTCCCTCCTCTTAAGGGTATAAGAATTATCTCAAGCTTGGGCAACTAATTCGGCTCACGGTATGCCCAATTGTGGGTATTCTCAGAATCGACACGTTTGATTTCGATCGCAAATGGGGGGGGGTACTTTATAGGACCTGTGTTCGTGAACCATGTGGTTCTTTCGTACTAATATAAAGGGCTTCATCTGTCTCTCTGTGTGTCGGTCTGTCTGCCCGGCAATCCGGCATCATGTGGAAAGCCACTTTTAGGGACCGGATCAGGGGTGGGTTGAGGCGGGCATGGGCCCAGATTCACGGAACACAAATGAAGTGTTCCGTGAATATTGGCCCATGCTCGACAGCCCTTGGTTGCCACAGGGTCGAAAGTCATAACGGAGAGGATTTTGAGGTCACGGTCAATATCCTTGCGTATGCAACTCAAACATCCGCGCGCAAAACCCTGGAGGCATTTTGGATTCGGGTCACGAATCCAAAAATGAACCGCAGGGGAGAATGCGTGTCAATTACGCGCGAGCTAACCCCCTATATAAGCCTACCGGAACCTGGATGCGATCACGGGCGACAAGCAACCATATCGTCGAACGCCAGCTGATCTCGTGATCTCGAAGGTACGGTAGTTGGTTTTCCCTATGAATTATGTGATGGGTTAGGGGGTCTCGAAGGTCTCGTAGGGTAGTATGACATTTGGTCGTTTAAATCATAAATTGATTTCCACTTCCAGGCTCCGAAGAAGGCAATCGTGCCGAAACGTTAGCCGTTCACTGTGTATACCAACCTCGTGTGAAGTTTGAAGCAAATAAATATTCAACGATTATGCCGAGGTTCATCGAGAGCCGGACATGGCGACAAATGAAGTGAGTTAAGCACCGCCCTGTATGGGCGGGGCTTGTCCTTGACCGTGAGCCGCTTATGTCGGAAGGTCGTAACTTGGGTAGGTGCATGAAATAAGGGAAATATACCCATACTGGGCGGGGTTGCCCCCAGCAAGGTGGCGCTTCCCACAGACATGAAAATTTTGTAGCAAATGCCTTGGGATGGGAATATATAGCTAAGTAAAACGGAGAACTTTGGAAACTTTCAAAAAAATATGCCCTTTCGGTTGATCCGAGTGGCTCTCTCTCTGTTGAAATGTGTGGGGCAAGACCCACTTCACACGAAGAGAGATGGTCTTCTGATAAATCTGTCGCATGAAAGGATGAGAATTTCCACTTTTCGAAGGAGGGTTAGGCCCCTTCAAAAATGGAAGCACAAGCCGCTCTCACGGGCGTGGCTGGACGGGGATGGGCGTGACTTGCTCCTCTTGCTTTTTCTACCCCTGTCCACACAAAACACCAACCGCGCTTACAGTCATAATGTTTTCAACTCGTCGGACCTTGAAATTTCACAACGCCATCAAATTTCACTCACCCCCCTCCAACCCTTTCATTAACAAATGTTTTGTGTCAAAAATACACGAGAGCCACTGCTTTACAACAGTAGGCCAGGCGTTTGGTCTGCAAAACATCAGGTCTGAAGAATGAATGAGTCCGTTGTAAAGTAGAGGCGGGCCAGAAGTAAGACGTGCGAAGGGAGTCCGGATCTATCCCGCGAATCAAATTCCTGGTGAAAGGCATTATTGAAAGTTCAATGCAAAACCACAACACCATCTCTGCCAGCGGCAGCTTTGACCGCATAATAGCCCCTTTTCTCTAGGTAGCTCGGGTTGCCAACCAAGCCTCGCCGTTAGCCACCTGAGATCCGTCAGTGAGTCAGGAGTTTCAAGGGAGCAGGTTCGTAGTTCATGATCCTTATAAGAGGGGCAAAGTAGGACAGACATTCCTGAGCGGTTCACGGCAGGGTGAACTAGGTAAATGGTGTAGTATTATGCAGTAACTAGCTCTAAAATTGGAAAGAGACGAGGCTTTTCGCTATGCTTCTTTCTATGGTGACGCAAAAGCTTCCACTTATTCAACTCCATCTTCCAAAACATTCACATTCATCGTTACTTTTTTTCAGGAGGACACTCAAAGCCGTCAAATAAACAGCTTACTGTAGCCATCAATGAACAAGCTTATTTTAAGTTACAATTGGTTGTCCATTGAACATGTTACAGTAAGGTTCTCAAGATCAGGAAAAACCACCAAGAAACGGCATATGGAGGCGAAACTTGAGATTGTAGTAGGAAAGATCTCAAAGAGCTAGATTGTCAAGGGGAATCGGCGCAGTTTGGCGACGGGGGGCATTTCGCACTTTCGCTGCTTCACTAGTTCCGGTTTACAAGTCTCACTCTGGTGAAACTTGTGAACTCCTGTGAAGCTGGAGCAAGCATCGAGCCACCAAGGTAGAACTTGTTAACTCTTGTAAACTCATGAAATAGCTCTCTGGGTGGGTCAACACATGAACAGGAAGTGCGGATAAACAAAATACCCTCCCGCTGTCGCCGAGAAATCTTCCACGATCATAACAATTCCTGTTCTAAAGACGAACCTGGATGAATTTAGGTGGAGCAGCGGTGACGAAACTGGTGATCTCACTACTCCAATGCTCTTCAGTAAACGAGTTCGACTGAGATCCTGTTGATCGTATAAGGTGCGTCTCGGCCACTGTAGCATTGCCCGAGCGATAAATCGCCTCGCGATCTATAAACACGTTTATTGACGCTTCTTACAAAACCCTTTCATTCAGCTTCGTCCAATAGATTTGCAGTGAGCCGCGGCTTCACCCAAGTAAGCTACACCTGGTTCCGGATAACCAGAAATGCCATTCTGCTTGGAACGCGATTCTCACGAGCAAGTATTGCTTATAATGGGGTTCAAATCAGGGCTTCGTCCGTTGCGGATTACAAGAGGGGTGGGGGTCGTATTAGTCTCAGGAAAAATGTTGGTGTCATTACTGACTTTTCTACGATTTCCTGGTTCAAGAACCTTCTCTCTGCTCAAAAGCTGTTCTTTTTGGAAAAATCCTAGAAAAGTCCTGTAGGAAATAATGAAAATAGAGGAAGGTGGTAGGTAAAATGAAGGGTAAGCAAGGGAGGGGTTTCACTAGAGGAGGACATTCCAGGGAGTCGTATTCTACAAAAACTACCCCAAAGAGCGTAGCACTGGGTTAATTATGGACCGGTAGGCATCAAGTGACTCCCCAGTAAAGAAAAAGCAAAAACATCTTCAGAAACGCCCTAAATAAAGACCCTTTGGCAGTCATGCAGTCGTATTGACGAGTTTACCGGACTTGCTTGCAATCTATATCCTTCCGACTTTATGCATCCCTTGGCAAACGAATCGTTTCTTTTTTCCCCCGCTGCTGAATGCCCCCTCACACCAGGGAAAAAAGGAGGCATCGGAGGATCGCCTTGAAATTTCCGCGTCAACA